CATCAAGAGCTTTCATTTGAGCACCCACATGCATTTTTAGTATATTTTTCATATATACATATATATAATATATATAAATATATAAAATATATGAAAAATTGATGTGGGTATTCAAATGAAAGGTCTCGATGAGTAAAACATCGGGATGAGCTTATATCTTTAAAAATGTCAATATTTAAGAAAGTACAGCTCAATTTAACAAAAATTATTATTAAAGAAAGCAAAATTAAAAATTTTTAATACAAATAATTTATTTATATTCATTCTATTTGACCTGTTCAATACTTGGAGCCTTTACCCTATTCTCTTAAATTTATTTTCTAGCTTGAATTTTAAACCTGAAAATTGACAAAAATAATAAAAATTTGGTACTCATTCAATAAAAAAAAAAAAAATGAAAAAATCACAAAGTTATATTAATTACATACTGCCGCTTGACATGCTGATTAAAGAGTTAAAATTAATTAATAAAAATAATTAAAATCTAAGCCAAGGCTGGAAGTTCTAAGACTGCTCATAAAACTTAACTCTTGTCTATTATTTGCACTATCGATTAATTAATTAATATTAATTAATATTACGTGAAATTGGTATAATTAAAATTCGACTCGTCGATAATAATTTATATATATATAATATAATAATTGATAATAAATGAGCGAAAAAAAATAAAAATTGACGAACTCGCGGTTAAATTTTCTTTACTCTGTTTTAAGACTGATGAGTTCAGTTTTAGAATCATTCAAACCTGAAACCACTTGGCATGCCTGAGTTGAGCTAAAGCCTCCAAACACTTAGCCTTGGGAAGTACATCTGGTGGGTCTGGTTTCGTCACTGCGGGCGTCGCGGGCGTCGTTTGCGGTTGAGCAGCTCCCTGCTGCTGTCCAGCACTATCTGAGATCCCAACAAAGAAAGCACAACACGCTTAGACAACACTCAGAGTGTTTGATCATGCTCAACGCACTTATTTTTTTTTAAACCCTCTAATATTCTTTTTTTTTTTTATATTTTTGTTTTTAATTTTCAGAGAATTTTTTTTTATTAATTAATTATCAAGACAAAAAATTTACAGTAATTTTTCACATTTAATTATAGAAAAAAAAAAATATATATCTTATTTAAAAATAATTTTTATCTTGATAATTAATTAAAAAAATTTTTACTTATAATTAAAACTAGCAACCTTGCAGTCACTATGTGACTGCCGTGACTTGTGAACTATAAATGAATAAAATTTTGTTTTATTAAATAATGACTCTAGTTAAATTTGCACTGTACTTTCTTCAATATTGACATTTTTGAAGATATAAGCTCATCTCTATGTTACACTCGTCAAGAGCTTTCATTTGAGTACATACATGCATTTTTGATATATTTTATATATATATGAAATATTGATGTGGGTACTCAAATGAAAGGTCTCGATGAGTGTAACACAGGGATGAGCTTATATCTTTAAAAATATCATTAGTTGACAAGATAGCTAAGTCAGTTCTTAATTATTGACAATTTTTAAGACATAAGCTCATCTCGATGTTACACTCGTCAAGAGCTTTCATTTGAGTACCCACATGCATTTTTGATATATTTTTCATATATACATATATATATCATATATATAAATATATAAAATATTGATGTGGGTACTCAAATAAAAGGTCTTAAGGAGTGTAATGTCAGGATGAGCTTATATCTTTAAAAATGTCAATAGTTTACAAAATACAAGGTCATTTATTAATTATTGACATTTTTTTAAGATATAAACTCATCTCGATGAACGTTACACTCAACAAGATCTTTCGTTTGAGTACCCACATCAATATTTCATATATTTATATATATTATATATATACATATATATTATATATAAAATATATGAAAAATTGATGTGAGTACTCAAATGAAAGGTCTTAATGAGTGTAACATCGGGATGAGCTTATATCTTTAAAAATATCATGAATTGACAAAATACAGCATAGTTTCTTAAATATTGACATTTTTAAAGATATAAGCTCATCCCGATGTTATACTCATCAAGACCTTTCATTCAAGTACCCACATCAATTATTCATATATTTTATATATTTATATATTTTACAAATACTATGTATATAAAATATATAAAAAATACCATGTGGGTACTCAAATGAAAGGTCTTAATGAGTATAGCATCGGGATGAGCTTATATCTTTAAAAATGTCGATAGTTCACAAGATACAAGGTCATTTCCTAATTATTGACATTTTCCAAGATATAAGCTCATCTCGATATTATACTCATCGAGACCTTTCATTTGACTACCCACATGCATTTTTGATATATTTTTCACATATTCATATATATAATAAATATGAATATATAAAATATATGAAAAATTGATGTGGGTACTGAAATGAAAGGTCTCGATGAGTGTAACATCGGGATGGGCTGATATCTTTAAAAATGTCGATAGTTCACAAGATACAAGGTCATTTCTTAATTATGTATCTAAAATTACATAATGAAAAAAAAAAAAAATAAATAGAGTAATTATTTAAATTATTAATTAATATAAATTGAGGGTATGCATGATCAAAAAGTCTTTAGTTATCGGATTGCCTCAGCGTTGTTTCCTTTCAACTACTGGAGCGTTTTAAAAAACACTCGTCTCTTATTTACTTGACAAACAACCACTCTAAAGACTCTACTTACTTCAAACATATTTTAAATAATTTTATTCACATGAACCTTAAAAGATTTCTAATTTAAATATGTAATAATACTTTAAATACTTTTACGCTTATTTCCCGTTCTTCCAACGTTTTTAGTTCATCGACGCGACAGTGTTAAAACAGTCCTCCAGGTACATAGGTTTATGCTAAATAAGTCGCTATTTTTTTTTATAATTAAACAATTATTTTTAAAAAATGTTTTAGATTAGCTTTTTGTAAAATTGAAATTTAAAATTTTCAAATGCAAAAAAATTGAAGTAGAAGTGAGCGAAAAAATAACGACTTGGTATTAAAAAAAATTAATTAGTTAAAAAAAAATATATTTAAATCCAAACCGTGAAATCCCTGGTACTGTAAAATCCTGGTGCTTAAAAAATGATTGAGTAGATTTAAAAAGGCCATGAAAAGAACAAAATTTAAGTAGGAAAATAAAAATAATAATTTTAAAATAACTAAAAAAAAATATTGATTATTAATAATTATTAATTATTAATTATTGCTGATTTATCCTTTTCTTGGCCGTTGTTTTTGTTTATAATTGGGTAAGTTACCTGCTGTTGCCGGTGGTTTCGCTGTTTCGCGCATCAGAGGACTTGTGAGAGTAACGCTGACAGTTACAGTACCGCCTGATACTGTCAAAGCCGCAGATTCTGGGTGCTTGCCTACGTTGTAGGTTTCTTCAGGGGCTACTATTTTTAGTTGAGATGGTAAAATTTCAGCGACTTTGTTTAGTAAAGTCCTAAAAAAAAATTATAGATTAATCAATAAAAATTTTATGAATTAAATTATTAAAAAATAAAATTATTAAAAAAAATTAATCAATTCAATTATTTAAAAAAGTTTATCAACAAAAATTAAATTAGTCAAAAAATTAATATTCAAAAAATCAATTAGTTAAAACAAATAAAAATTAATATTAAATCATTTAAAAATTGAATCGATTAAAAAAATTAGTTTTTTTAAAAAATTAATAAAAATATTTAAGAAAAAATTGAAAATTAAATTATTCAAAAAATTAATTAGTTAAAATAAAAATTAAATCATTTAAAAATTGAATCAATTAAAAAAATTAATCAATTTATTTTTTTTTTAAATTAATAAATAAAAATATTAAAAAAAAGAAGTTATTAAAAAATAAAATTATTTAAAAAATTTTATCAACAAAAATTAAATTATTCAAAAAATTAATTAGTTAAAACAAAAAAAAATTAAAATTAAATCATTTAAAACAATTAATCATTTTAGTTTTGTTAAAAAATTAATAAATAAAAATATTTAAAAAAAAAATGAAAATTAAATTATTCAAAAAATTAATTAATAAAAAAAAAATTAATTACTTTGTTGGTTTTTCAGCACATAGAACAACTAAACAGACATGATTATCTCCAGATAACAGTAGTCCTTTGGCCAAATTACCCACACGCATGACATCACGGATAACACGCAAATCTTCTTTCTCTTTTGGATTTGCAAATGAGGTGGTATTTTCATCTTTCTTCTTCTCAGCCTCTTCTTTCTTTACTTCAGCTGCCGGTGTTGTAGCATTTCCCGTTGCGGGCATGGTCTTTTTATCTGTAATTAAAAATCCATGTTTGTTAATTAGGACTGATCGATTAATTAGTTGATGTCAATTAAGATTAATTAATAGAAAAAAAAATCAGGCTACCAGTTCATCTAGGCAGTGTCAAAATTTTGTTGCTACCGACGATAAAAACCAAAAAACTTGATTAATATCTTGGTAATAACTATTGAGACACACTCAGACTCGTCATCGGTATCATCATGTGTAATTATCATATTTATCAACTAATTTAAGATTGATAATAATTATAATAATAATAATAATAATAATAATAATAATAATAATAATAATAATAATACTGTTAGTTAATCATTAAATTATTATTATCATTACTGTTAAATTAGATTTTACTTTTAATAAAAATAAAGATTTTAGACTAAATTGACTCTAAAAATCAGAGAAACTAATTTTGTTAATATTTAAAAATCTAATAATCCAATTTTTATGACATTTTTTATGTTTTTAAAATTTAGGCTTAATAATAATAATAATAATAATAATAATAATAATGATCAAGGATAAAATTTATATATATTTTTAAATTCAATAATTAGATTTGATTGGTGAAGTGTAATCGTTTAGATTATGAATCAGATTTAGTTGTTTAGATCCAATAGTTAAATCTAATAATTAGATTCGATCATTAGTTCCATTAAGATAGATCTAATTGTTGAAATCTGATAGTTTAAATGAAAAATTAGACTTAATTTTTTAGATCCAATAATATAATCTCAAGAGTTAGATCTGATTGTTTAGATCCAATTGTTGAAATTTGATAAATTAAATTAAAAATTAGACTCAATTGTTTAGATTTAATTGTTAAGATCTAATAATATAAATCCAATAGTCAGTTCTAATTGTTTAGATCTAATTAGTATCAATTAAGATTTAACTATTTAGATCCAATTTTTTTAGATTCAAGATAGAAATCTATTTGTTTATATCCAATAGTTAGATCTAATTATTAGATCCAATCAATATTTCTCATAATATAAGTCTAATTGTTAAGACCTTAAGAATTAGATCTATTTTTTGAAATCTGATAGTTTAAATTAAAAATTAGATTTAATCGCTTAGATCCAATAATTCAAATCCAAGAGTTAGTTCTAATTGTTTAGATCCAATAGTTAGATCTAATTATTTAGATATATAAATCAGATCTAATTAATAAATCTAATTTTTCCTTGAAATCTTATTATTTTTATTATTTTATATATTTTTAGTTTATTGGCTGTCCAGTCTAATACAACAATTTTTTTTCTCTATTTTTTCGTATTATTATTATTATTATTAAATTTTTATTCAATATTTAAAAAAAAAAAATAATGATGATTATTATCAATAGAAAAAAAAAAAAACTTACTAGCTTCAGCAAGAACATCAGAAACCAATTTCAAAGCCTTCTCAGTATGAGAAACAATTTTTTTAACAGCTTGCAATTCTTCTTCCTTGGGATAAATACTAGAGTGATGAGCATCAACATGTTTGTCATCAGACCTGCGAGGTACAACGGAGAACATCATACCAGGAGGACCAGGGAATGGCCGAGGAGGCATTGGAGGAGCACCAGGACCACGACCACAGCGACGGTACCACTCGTAGTACTCGCACTCTTCTTCATACCGACGACGTTCCTCCCAGTAAATCATCTCTTCGTCCATCATGGGGCCCATCATGCCCATAGGACCCATCTGGTTCATCTCCTCACGACGGCGAGTAAACTCCTCTCGAGCCTGTTGACGGCGGTGTTTCTCCTCCAGCATCTTGCGCTGCTTCAGACTCGGCTTGATGTCCACCACCAGGTCAGGGTTGACTTTCTTCTTGTAGGCGAAGCGATGACGACGACCCTTCATGTGCATGTCTTTGGCATTCGGGTCGTTGAAACGACACTCGCAGAGTTTGCAATTGAAACTTATTATTTTGCCGTCTTCAGACTTGTTCTCTTCGATGTACTCTTGACCCACCGGCTGGATGTCTTTTTCTTCAGTTAGTGATTCTTCAGCTGATTCCTCGACTGCTGACTCTTCTGTTTTTGCTTCAGCAGCTGCGTTTTGGTTCACTGTGCCGAGATTTCCAGCTGTAAATTATTTTTTCTATTAAAATTCATTAAAAAAATTATTTAATAATTTTCTATTCATTTTATAATTAGGAAAAATTGAATCAGAAATAATTTGTTAATTTCTAATTCTATATTAAGGATTAAAAAATCAAAAAAATAAAGTTTCGATCCTTAATTTTTGTTTTAGAAAATCATTTGTCAACTTTAAATTTAGTATCCAAATTGAAAAACTAAATCAATAATTTTTTTTCCAAAAAAATTAACTTTGTTAAAAAATTGTTTTCTAAATTTCAATCTCGAAATTTATGAATTAGAAAATTTTTAAAAACTTAAAAATTGTTTAAAGAATTTATCAATCTAGCTGCAAATAATGTATTTAAAAAAAAATCTAATAGGCAATTCAATTACAATTTATTTTTAATTCTATAATTTGGAAAAATTGAATAAAAAATAATTGAAAAAATTCTCAATTACAAAATTAAATAAATATTTATAATACAAATTACCTAATTAAAAAATGAATATAATTATATAAATAATTACTAGCAACCTTGCAGTCACTATGTGACTGCCAAGAATTTTGGACTATAAATAAATAAAATTTTGCTTAGTTAAAAAATGACTTTACTTATTAATTAATAAGTAATAATTGATTAATTGCACTATACTTTCTTAAATATTGGCATTTTTAAAGATATAGGCTCATCTCGATGTTACATTCATCAAGACCTGTCATTTGAGTACCCACATGCATTTTGGTATATTTTTCATATATTCATATATATATATATATATATATATATATATATATATATATATATATATATATATATATAAAAAATTGATGTAGGTACTCAAATGAAAGGTCTCGATGATTGTAACACCGGGATGAGCTTATATCTTTAAAAATGTCAATAGTTTAAAAGATACAAGGTCATTTCTTAATTATGTATCTAGAGATATTTTCGAATGCAGCGTAAATACTCATCATAATAAATTGACTACCGATGAGAATAATATGAAACCGGGAAAAGGCTCAAATTGAAGATAAGACCTTTGCAATGACACTAAATTTCACTTAAAAAATCGATTTTATATCATATAACTATCCTGGAGATAAAATTTTTCTTATTCTCTTAATAATAATAAATAAGATTTTTTTTTTAATCTCAAAATTTCCAAATTAAAAAATTCTTAATTAAAAAAAAAAAAAAAAAGTACTTACAAGCAACAAAATTAATTTTAGGAGTCGCTGTAACAGTCGGCTTCTTGGCAGCAGCAGCCCCAGCAGCAGCGGCAGCTCCACCAGCAGCTTTAGCAGCAGCAGCTGGCTTTGGATTGAGCACCGTGGGATCAGCACTGGGAATGGGTTTTCCCAACTTGGTGTGAAGCTTGACGACTTTCTGGTGCTTGGCCCCGCGAATGTGAGCAGCGTAGGCGTCATTTCCAGTGCAAGTAACATCGCAGAGTTCGCACCTGAGAGAATTACCAGCTCCGCGAGCTGGAGGCTGCTGGGGGACCTTCATCGAAGCCTCCTTCTTTTTGTGCTTCTGGCCCTCCAAGTGCTCGCGGTAGGTCTGAGGACCAGCGCAGCTAATCTTGCAGACATCGCAGTAGTGGAGTTGCTGGGGTTTGGGAGGCGGCTTGGCCCTCATACTCTTCATTCCACTTCCACCTGCTCCAAATCCTTTACGTCCGTAGCCCTGCCAACCTCCAGTCTTCTGGTTAGTTGTATTGTTGCTGTTTGCACTCTGTTGGGCTACGTACATTGTCGCAGCGCTATAAAGCGCTGCGTCATACCCGGAATACGCTGTACTTGCCGTTTCTAAAGAATAAATTTAATACCCATTTTTTCACAAGTTAACTACACCCCCTAGTTGTTTTTTTATAATTTTTTTTTTTTTTTTTTTTACTTTTTTTTACAACTATTAAAGCCCCTTTTATCAGTGTTGATTATTATTATAATATATATATTTTTATATCACTTATTACTTTGTTTAGAAAGTCACGCACCTATAGTCGCTTTTTTTTGTTGGTTTATATATTTTTTTTGTTGGTTATATTTAAACACCCGCACGATTAGTATCAGGCTCGGCGGACCGTCAAATGATGTTTTTTTTTTTTGGTTTTAAATTGGGTAATTAGGATTGTGATACTAAAAGAAGCAGGAGGTTGATAGTTTTTTTAGACTTTGACGATTAAATGGGACTTTTGTCGTGTGGAGATTAAATTTATTATTAATTTTAATTAAAGTTTTGGTTATATTTAATAGATTAATGAATAATACAAAAAAACTAAAAAAAATTTTTTTAATGGCTTGTTGAGAAAAATTTTTTAAATTATCGTATGGCTGTTGATTCTCAGTGTCATATATAAATTTTAAACTCATGTTTATTTACGAGGTTTAAAATCGAGTTATTGCTTCTAATGAAATATTTTTAAGCAAAAATTTATAAAAATTGAATAGTCGAATGGCATAAAAACAATTATTTTAATTATTCATGAAAAAAAAAAAAAATAAGTAAAGTAATTCAGTTAATATCATACCGTAATAAATATGTAAAGAAATTTACAAAAATATTTTATATAATAATTTTGATCAAGTTTACTTCAACCTAGGTGGTTTTTTTCAATTTTTATTGTAATCATTAATTTTTTATTTAATTTTTTTGTTTTTTTTTTTTTTTTCAACTATTAAAGCCCCTTTTATTAAATTTTACTTTTTATTTCAATTAATGAATTTTTGATGATCAAGAAAATTTTATGGGAAATTAAAATTTATTTTTCTTGAAACGGCGTTAGTTTTTTTTCAAGATGAATATTAATTAAATTTTTTTTTTTATAGATAATTTATTACAATTGAATTTTTTATTTTATTCAATTTAATTATTTTAAAAATTTTTTAATCAATTTAATAATTTTTTAGTTGTACAATTAGATGATATAAATTAAACTTCAATTAGCTAACGATTTAGATCTGAAGAACTAAAAAATATTTATTTCAATTCTAAAATACCTGCATAAATTTTTTATGAAGCTGAAAATATATTAAGATATCACTCAAAAATTAAATTGTGAATGTATGATTGACTTCAAATTACACTCGGTAATTTTAATAAATTATTTTTTTAGGTTATGAACGTGAAATATTTATCACACCTCTGAATTATAGATACTAGCAACCTCACAGTCACTATATGACTGCCATGACTTGTGAACCACAAAAAATTAAAATTTTGCTTTATTAAAGAATGATTCTTGTTAAATTGCATTGTACTTTCTTAAATATTGACATTTTTAAAAATATAAGCTCATCCCGATGTAACACTCATCAAGAGCTTTCATTTGAGTACCCACAAGCATTTTTGATATATTTTTCATATATACAATATATATAAATATATGAAAAATTGATGTAGGTACTCAAATGAAAGGTCTCGATGAATGTAACATCGAGATGAGCTTATATCTTTAAAAATGTCAGTAATTGACAAGATACAAGGTCATTTCTTACATAAAATAATTATTTTTGTTTAATGACATTGTACTTTTTTAACAGTTGACTTTTTCTAAGATGTAAGCTCATCCCTGCATTATATTCATCGAGACCTTTTATTTGAGTACCTACATCAATTTTTCATATATTTATATATATTATATATATGTATATATGAAAAATATATCAAAAATGCATGTGGGTACTCAAATGAAAGGTCTCGATGAGTGTAACATCTGAATGAGTTTATATCTTTGAAAATGTCAATAGCTTACAAGATACAAGATCATTTCTTACATAAAATAATTATTTTTGTTTAATGACACTGTACTTTTTTAACAGTTGACTTTTTCTAAGATATAAGCTCATCCCTGTATTACACTCATTTGAGACCTTTCATTTGAGTACCCACATCAAAATTTCATATATTTATATATTTATATATTTATATATATATTATATATATGTATATATGAAAAATATATAAAAAAATGCATGTGGGTACTCAAATGAAAGGTCTCGATGAGTGTAACATTGGAATGAGCTTATATCTTTAAAAATGTCAATAGTTCACACGATACAAGGTCATTTCTTAATTATGACCATGCAATCTTTATTTAACAATAATATCATTACTTTAATATCTAATCGACCTAATTTTTGTAGTATCGTGAAAATAAAAAATTATTTATAATAAAATATCTAATAAAAGATCTACTTTCAAAATTATCAAGGCTGACAATAATCCAATTAAATTAATATTCATCTTGGCAAACTTAGCAACTTAAAAATAAATAAACAAACTCGAGCCTAAAACACTTACTGTTAGTTGCTGCAGCGGGAGCGGCAGCTGGAGTAGCTGGTGCAGTGTATCCAGAAGAATAAGTCGCGTTCTGCGTAGGGTTTGACTGCTGATAAGCTGTACTGGCAGCTTGGTAAGTCTTGGCCTGGCCAGTGGTCGTCGCCTGACGAGCAGTCCCGGTGTAAGCACTTGTGGTGCTGTAAGCGGGCTTAGCAGCTTGGTAATGAGTCTCTGTAGTTGTGTAGGTAGCGGCAGCTGCAGCGGCCGCGGGTTGCTGATAATAAGTCTTAGTCGCGTCGTAGGTTGCTGCTGGAGCTGGACGACCGTATCCGTAATCGTAGGTTTGGGCTACCGTACCTGGGTTTGCTGCTACAGGGGAAACAAAACCTAATAACGAATCGATCAACGTTCTACTTTACTTATTTTATTTTTTATTACTATGGTTTACTTAATTATTAATTATTTTGTTTTATTACTGTTATGATAGAAATTTATTTCTTTAACATGAAAAAAAATTTTTTTTTTTTATTTGTTAATACGCTCAATTTAATTACAATTTGACTATAGATATTAGAAATTTTTAATTATGTTAAATTAAAAATTCAAAGAAAAATTTATGATGCTGAAATTAAATGAAGTAATTAAAAAAAAATCTGAAAATTTTAAATGTATAATTGCTAAATTTTTTAAAAAATTAGGCCTGAATAATATTAATAATTATTTAAAAAAAAAAAAAAATTATCAATGAAGAAATTTAAAGAATAATTCAATTTTTGCCTTCAGAAGTTGGAAAAAATTTTGGCTTTTATGTTTTTGGATAAAATTTCTATTTTGTTTTTTTTTTTAATATCACAATTTCTAAAAAAATTTTTTTTTTAATTTGTTAAAATTGTGATCATCAAATTTTTTTTTTTTAAAGGTATTTTTCAAAAAAATTAAATAAAATATACCAAAAACATCAAATAGAAATTTTGTTCAAAAAAATGAAAATTAAAATGGTTGATCCCATTTATAAATATTTACCAAAAAATTACCGAAAGGTTTAATAATTTTCATGATTTTTTAAAATGTAAATCGTGAAAAAAAAAAAGATAATTTTTAATTAATTGTTATAGATAAATTGAAATAAAAAGCTGATTAAGAAATGATTTTTTTTTTTGAATAAATTATTTCTGAAGAAATTAAATAAAAATTAATATTTTATGAATTTATTTTTAAATAAATTATTGTGAAATTTATTAAAAAATAAGAGTTGATAACTTAAAAAAAAAAAAAAAACGTTATAATTAAGAAACTTAAATAAAAATTTGACATTTTTAATGATCTTTTGTTTTTCATAAATTGTAAAATTTTTGTAAAAAATAAAATTTTTTTTACAAATTAAAAAAAAGATTGATAATAATTTAGGGTAAATGCACCAGTTGTTGACCGGTCACCAATTAGTTGACCGATGTACAAAAAAGTTAATTAATTAATATTTTACAAGGGTTTTTTTTTCTTAAAGTATTAAAATAAAAAAATATGGCATTTAATCATCATAATAAAAAATTACGCAATTAATTGTGCAGTGATTATAGTTTTAAAAAAATATTCTGAGTTTGTTTACAACGCAACCAGCCATAAAGCGGTCAAAAATAACTAGCGTACAATTGGAGAGTGAGTGCATTTCATCATTAATTTAGTGATATTTATCGGCATAATATAAAATATTTTAGTTTTATTATGTTAATTAAAGATCAGATTCCAACTTTTTTGAAAAAGTAAAGTTAAATTATAAGTTTTAATATTATTTTAAGACCGGTCAACTATTGGATCCGTCAGAAGCCCTTTACCCAGTATAAAATTCATTCGGTCATTTATTAGACCCTCTGATTTTATCACAATTCAATTAATGACCGTATATTTATAATACTAACTTCTTAACCTTAAAATTAAATCTGTCAAGTGTTTAAAGTACTTTAGTCATTCAATATTTTGTAAATATAAAAATAATCATTATAAAATGTATATTTATAATTAAAATAATACTTAAAATCTTTTTTGATTATTAAATTTTATTTTGTTGTAATTTTTTTTAGTGAACGGTTATATCAAAGAACGAATTATTAGAAGAAAAAATTGCTAAGCGATTAAAAAAATAAAAAAGAATTACAAGATAGTAAAAAAGCTTTAATTAAAAAAAAGAAGGAGAAGAATAAAAAAAATTTCAAGTGAATCAGAAGAACTATCGTCATCAAAATGAATTTGTGAATATTTGTGACCTAAAGAAATGTGACTTTACGTTAATTATTGCTATTATTTATATTATTTTATAAAAAAAGTACGATTTAAAATTATATTGCATGTTTAGTTTTGTTAAAGATGTCGTTAATACTACAAAAGTACTGCATAAATTTAATTACATACATGTAGTTAACAAAATTACTTATAATTATTTGAGCGATCAATTAATTAGGAGAACGGTCGGTCATTTATTGGGTTCCTTCGGTCAATAATTGGTGATTTTAGTATTTAAAGATTCAAATAACAAAATTAATATAATTTTGTTAATTTTTATTATAAATAGTTATTAATTATTATTAATTAAGTATTTAACTTTAATAAAATCCATTAGAAATTGTTTTTAGTAGGTTGATAGATTTTTTATAGCTTAGTACAGAAAAAGAAAACCTTAATCGGTCAATAATTGGTGCATTTACCCTATATCATTTTTTAAAAACTAAATTATAAAATTAAAAAACAATTTTTTTTTTCAAACTCAGTTTAAAAAAAAAAAAGCAAGAAATCATCAAGTGTCAATTTCAACATCATAAATTAAACTAATTTTTTTTATCCATTATCGATTTATTAAAAATGTTTCTATGAAAATGAAGTTGACCGACATTTCAAAATTTTTTATTGAAAAAATTTCAATTAAACAATTAAAAAAAAAAAATTGTCACCTGTAAAAAACTTGAAAAACTACAAGTGGAATTTTTTAGAAATATTTTTTTAGTTGTAATTTAATTAATAAAAAAAATCAAAAATTTTTACACGTCTGCTAACTTCAGTGTCATATATTTCTTGATAATTTTTAGAGTCAACAATAAACCTGCTAATAATTATTTAATAGCAAGATAATTACCAGCATAAGTCGTGCCAGTGGCTGCTGCGGCGGCAGCAGCTTGATAAGTCTCGTAACCAGTAGCAGCTGCAGCAGCGGGTCTTTGAGTATAGGTAGCGGCGGTAGCTGCCGGTGTTACTGCATAACCAGCTTGTCCAGTTTGATAAGCAGCACTAGTTGCTCTAATTGAATTGAATTGAATAAAAAAAATTCAATCAATTATCAGCAATTCATTAATAATTAATATTTAATACTTTACCAGGAAAATCAATGGCAAGCTTGGGTCGCCGAAAAATTTTAATGAAAAATTCACGGAATTAATAATAAAAACTAATTACGGAATAAAATAAATAAATTGTCCGGTTTGATAAATAAAATAAATGAAAATATTAATCAGCGAAATGAATAAAAGCGTTCGGCTGAATGAGAAATAATAAAATCAATGAAAGCACTGGGATATAAAATGGCGGACATTACCGGCATAACGTATCGCATGGGTTATGAAATTCTTGGAACGAAAAAAAATAATAATAACGCGCAATAAATAATGATTAGATATTTTAAAAATAATAACCGGAGTTACGGAATTAGTAATTAGTTATTTTGAAATATATTTAAATAATAATTGCAGTAACAACATACCCATATTGAGTACCGCCGTGTGTAAAACCGAAATAATTATTCTGTGCCATCCTTTTTACTTATTCCTACACACAACACAGAGAGACGCCCGGAAAGAAGGAACGACCAAATTAACAGCGGAAGTCATTGGGCGTGTCTGATATTTCCGTTGGAATTCCCGTTGGAACTTTTATTCTATTGGTTTAAATTCTGATAAGAATTTTTTCATTGGGTAATAGTGACTCAGACGTTTAATTTCACGGAGATTTACGAAAATAACCGAACTTAGATTCCGGAGATTCGAGTATCGATTGTTTTTTAGCGCGGGAAAATTTAAATTTTAGTTTTTAAGTTTTTGATTTTTATAATAATAATAATAATAACAATATATAATAAGATCAGATAATTTAGATCTAATAGTTAGATCTTAAAGCTAGATCTGATTGTTTAGATTTAATGTTTAAATTTGATTTTTCAGATCTAATTTAATTTTAATTTTAATTTAATAGTTAGATTTGGTTGCTCAGATCTGATTATTTCTATCAAAAAATAAGATCTGATTGTTCAGATCTAATAATTAGATTTAATAGTTGGATCTGATTGTTTAGATTTATTATTCCTATCTGTAATAATAAGATATGATTGTTCAGATATAATAATAAAACCTGATGGCTCAAATCTAATATTTAGATCTAAAAGTTCAAATTTAATAGTTAGATCTGATTGTTTAGATCTAATGTTTAAATTTGATTTTTCAGATCTAATTGTTTTAATTTAATAGTTAGATTTAGTTGCTCAGATCTGATTATTTTTATCAAAAAATAAGATCTGACTGTTCAGATCTAATAAATAGATCTGATTGTTCAAATTTAATAGTTGTATCTGACTGTTTAAATTTATAATAGTTGGATCTGACTGTTTAGATCTTATTATTTCTATTGAATATTTAGATCTGACTGTTCAGATCTAATAATTAGATTTGACTGTTTAGATCTGATCATTCAAATCTTAAAGTTAAATCTGATTGTTCAGATCTAATAAATAGATCGGATTGTTCAGATCTAATATTTAGATCCGACTGTTCAGATCTAATAATTAGATTTGACTGTTTAGATATGATAGTTAAATCTGATCATTCAAATCTTAAAGTTGAATCTGATTGTTCAGATCTAATAGATAGATCTGATTGTTCAAATTTAATAGTTAGATCTAATTGTTCAGATTTAATAAATAAATCCGATTACTTAGGTTTCATTGTTCAGATCTAATAGTACGTTCTAATAGCTTTCACTAAATAATTAGATCTAATTCTTTAGATCTAATAATTAGATCAGACTGTCAAGATCTAATTTAAAATCTTATTTTAGATTAATAAATCAGATCTCATGATTAGATCTAATTGTTTAAATGTAACAATTAGATCTGATTATTTAGATCTAATTATTAAAATCTAAATACACCAGATCTTATGATTAGATCCAATTGTTAAAATCCAATAATTAGATCTAATTGTTTCAATCTAATAATAAGATTTGATTGTTCAGATTTATAATAGTTACATCAGATTGTTTAGATCTAATTATTAAAATCTAATAGTTTCATTGCGGTAGTTTCATCACATTGTTAAAATCTAATTATTAAGATCTAATAGTTAGATTTAATTTCTAAAAAAAAAACCCAAAAAATTAAACAATAAATCCTAATTTCATTATCACATAATAAAGGTTACAATAAACATAAATTTCACAAATAAATTCATATATTTTCAATATAATTTATTTACTATAAAAAAAAATAATAATTAAATTATTATTATTGCTTTCTAGTAAAAAAAAACTTACATACGTTTTTTTTTTCTCTTTTTTTTTTTATTATCATTAGTATCAAATTTTAAAATACAAATATGTTCAATGCAATTTGATCACCAAAAAGTAGCTGACCAAAACTTCAATCTCCATTGGAAAAAAAAAAAAAAAAAAACTATAATCATAATCTTCTTCCATGAATTTTGACAATTTCCTCTTAACCAAAAAATAATTTCATTAAACTGAAAATATTTTAACTGTCGCATCAAATAAAATATTGTCCAGTGAATTACTTAATAAAAATAGTACAAAATGATTTAGCTTATGAGGGAGGTGGATAGTAAGGACGAGAAGGATTTCCAGGAACGGGATTCCCCGGTGGAAAGTAGGTGGCGTTCGTAGGGTAGCCGTAAGATTGAAACGGCGGAGCTGGAGTGGGAGGCGGCTGAGCCGGACGGATCGGAGGAGCCAGCCGCATTGCTGGCACTAAATGGTTCATTGGATTCACCGAGGGTGGCGGCACCGAGATATTTGTTGGAGGAAACACTCCAGGATATGGCGCGGGTGCTGGTGCAAAATTCGGCGGGTACGCACTATAGTGCGGGGGTGGAATTTCAATAGGTTTCACCACGGCTTCTGGTTGAAGGACTGGAGGCTCCAGTGGTGGGCAGCCGTTTGATGAAACTGGTGTTGTTTCTATTTTTTGGATTTTTATTGGCGTTCCTGCTGTTGCAAAAGATCATTTTTATGAATTATTAATTATTAATTATTAATTATTAGCAGTTGATTAAATATTTAATTTGTTGCGAAATTTTTTTTTTTTTAATTATTGAAGATTATTTTATTAAAAGACTTACTGTTTGGAGTATTGGATGCTGATTCAATAGACGCAGGTGTTGTTATTACTTCAGTGGTAGTATGATTTGATGGTGTCATTGGTGGTGAATCTGGAGGCTTTGCGTTATTAGCCTGTGAATATAAATCTAATACTTGATGACAGATATCTAAAAATATTAATAATAATAATTATAGAATTTTTTTTTTTTTTTTATCAAGAACACAGAAAATAATTTTACTTGAAAAAATAAAATTGTCTTAATGCAGGTAGAAATTTTTTAGCAATAAAATTATTAGTGGAAATTTTTTTAGTGTAATTTGTTGTAAAAATTTAAAAAATTTCAACTAACTTTAATAAAGTAGCGCTCAAAAGTATTTTAACAACATTATGCGTTAGTTTTTTTCAACAATGTCAAAATACTTTGGAGCCACCAATTTCCTAATATTTTAAAAATTAAATTTTCTTCTGTTACGAACAATGACCACTATTTTGTAGATTATTCAAAAGCTGTTAAAAAAATAAATAATGATTGTGTTTCATATTTATTTTTAATTAAACCGTTGAATATATTTGTCAAGATACTTTTAAGCGCTATTGTATATTTTTTTAACCGAGATTATTTTGCAAGACAAATGTTAGAAAAATATAAAATTATTATTGTTTTTTTGACTCAAAAAAATCAAAATTCTCTTGAGCAAACTCAAATTTTATTAAGCTGAAAAAAATTTATTTTTGCTCCAAAACACCTCAAGTCTTCCGAAAAATTTTCTTAATTCAGATAAATATTTTTTTCTGTGTTCAATATAAATTAATAAATAAATACCTTCTAATAAATCCATTGTAACATCTTCGACAAACATATCCCACCACCTCAAGTGTTTAGGTTGTCTGCCGTTCCAATCAACGACTTCAAATTTACTTAATTTTCCAGCTAAATACATTAGCGCTACTGCTATTATTTCTGGCTCCCATTGTAATGACAATGTAGTACACAAACTAAAAAAAAAAAAAAAAAAAAAAAAAATAAAATAAAAAATTGATTAATTATTTAAAATTTTTTTTTTTAAATATGTTTATCTATCTTATCTTTGTCTCTCTATTTAGTTTACCTATCATTTACGAATGTCCAAGCCATTTGTACCATTTTTTGTAATTTGCCTTTGTCTCCTATAAATTTTTAAAATAAATAAAAATTATTTTTGGTCATAAAAACTTTTTTCTAATTAATAAAAATAAATATTTACAATTAAAAATTTTCTAAATTTAGTATGTTATAAATAAATAATATACATTTGGAAACTTTTAAGTTTCATGATTAAAAATACTCCAATATCTCAAAATGAAACTAGTAAAAAATTCAATAAAGAAATTGATTATTTTTCTTATCCAAAATATGAGAAGATATTTTTTTTTTTTTATCTAAAAAATTTTTCCATTTGAAGTGTAAAATTTTTAACAGTGCTTTCACTCACTTTTGAAAAAAATTTAATCAAAAATCCATACAATACCTTTTAAACATTTAGCGTATTTTAATAAATAACTATAGGGATGTTCAACTTGTAAATCGAATTTTATTGTTTGCAATAAAATTCTTTCAAGTGTCATTACTTCTTCCTAAAATAAAACAAAAAATCAACAATTAATAATAAAAAATTAATTGTTCTTTTTTAAAAATCCTACTAATAAAATTAGATACTGAAATCAGCAGACATCTGACATTTTTTTATAATAATAAAGTTAGCCAACATTTTTTATTTTGCTTAATTTATTAAATTAGAAATAAAAAATATTTTATTTTAATAGCACAATTTTTCAAATTTTTTACAAATAAAATTAAATAAAAATTTTTTTTGTAATATTTTTTTCAATAAAAAAAATTCTAAAAATTTTTAGATGTTGGCTAACTTTATTGTCATTATTTTTTTAGGTTTATTTAAAATAATAAATTAATATTAATAAGCTATTTTCAAAAATTTTATTCATTGTTTATTTTTATTTCAACAAGCAGAATTTTTTTAAAACAACTCACCTGTGACAAAAAATTTCTAAAAATTGTTATACGCCTGTCATTTTAATTATCAATAAAAATGACACTACATCAGTCAGCTGATACCTGACATTTTTTGTCGAATTATTTTTAGAATGAATTGATATTAATAAATTAAAATTTTATGAAAATTAATTTAGCAGATATTTAATAATTTTAAAAATTTTTTGAACAAATAAATTATGGCATAAAAAGTAGGAGAAACAAAAATTGACATGTAGAAATTAAAAAAAATTAAAAATGCAATTTTATTAAAATTATTTTTTTGGAGCAAATTTGTTTGTTAAATAAAATTAAAAAATAATCAAGTGACTGCTAATTTAAATGTCAATTTAAAAAATTTTTTTAACAAATCAATAACAATAAAAAAAAACTTCTAAAAATTTTCACTTGTAATTTTTATTAATTTTCACATGTGGAATTTTTTGATTAAATTTTTAATTAAAGTTAGCAGTCACTTAATAAATTTTATTCAAAAGATAAATTTGCTCCAAAAAATTATTTTTAAAAAATTGCATTTTCTATTTATTTGATTTTCTGTCAATTTTTTTTCACATAATTTATTTTTCACTGTTAAAAAAATTATAAAATATCTGCTAAATTAATTTTCATTACATTTTTTTTAATGATAATTTAATTGCTATAAAATTCTAAAAAAATTTTGTGTCTGTCAACTTTAATGTCATAAAATTTTCTATAAAATAATTAAAATAAAAAAATTTCTAGAGCTGTCAGATGTCTGTAATTTTGCTTCAAAAAAAAAAAACTTACCTTCGGATCTTCTCCAAATGTCGCAAATTTTTGATCAGTTAACAAAGTTTTAGCTGTCTTAATAATATCCTTGCATTTTTTAGGAGTTTCCTCGACTTTCCCCGCCAAAAATAAGCAGCAACAAGCAGTGACCTGAAAAACATCCACCAGTCATAGTCACCAGATGATTTGCGGATCCAAGTTACAGGACAATAATGACTGAAGGGGGTGAATATTTTGATAAAGGATCATCAGGACTGGTTAGTTGATCTAGTTGGTAAAAAATTCAGGGACTTACGTATCTAGGAAACTGTTTAAACGAGTGAAACATGTAAAAACGGTGAAAATAAACAACTCCAGTTGCCATAGTGTTATAACCTAAATCCATTTTCGAGCCAGTGTCTATTATAAATCTGGCGCCTTCTTTTCTGTACCTGCATTCTGTTTCGTAGTCTATAGAGTCTTGGATTGATGGAGTGTGTCTCAGTTCTTTTTTGTCGTAGTACCAGCACGGCATTATTTCAATTTCTACTTGTTTAAATAATTACTTACTGTTCACTTAATTAAATGATTGCTTTTAACCGCACTTTTTGACACTTGAAGAAACTTCTAAGTTTACCTCGGTGGCGCTCTAGTCGATTTATCCGGAATCGATTCTCGATATTTTTTAGCGATTAGTTATTTTTTTTTGTTATTAAATCAGCTGATTTTTATATTTTTTTTTTTTTTACTTGGTAATTTAGAATTTAAAAAATGTAAATTAATTTATGAAAATAAAGTTATAGCTGACATATAAAAATTTTTATAATTTTTTTTATTAACACTCTTTGTGAGGTAGCTCACACTCTTTCGACACCTACTTTCCACCGGGATTATTTCTTAAATCTTGTTTACTATCTGATGGTAATAGAATAATTTTTGAACTTAGTTTCAACTGGCGCCAACGCTTTTCCTTTTAAATTTAAATAGCCTTTTTCGTTTTGACTATTGCTATTCAAATGGATAGAATATACGCAAAAAAAAGGTGAGGCTTCATTGCCCTTTTTCCCCACTACGCGAATTTTTTGGGGTACTCCAACTATAAAACTAAAGTTTGGAGTTCCTTTTTATTATTCAGTTCACTTTCCTTGCAGCGGTGTGACGTAATATCGACGAAAGTTTGAAAAAATTTGTTATTGATAATAAAAAATAAACGACTCTAAATATCAAGGATGGATAATTTTGATTCGGATGAAGATTATGAGTATGAAGTAAGTCATCTAATTATTTTATAAATAATTTTATTATTAATAAAATTTTAATAGCGTTAATTAATTTTAATTTATAACTTTAATTGTGTTATTAGATAACAGAATCACCAAACTCATCTCCGGTAACATTAGGAACCGAAAGCTCTATACACAAGCAAATAACAATGTCGGATTTTCACCAAGAGAGTTCAATCTGATTTTTGGTATACGTGGACAATAATAATTGTAGTAGGAAATTATCATTTCATTTATCGTCGAATTTGCCCATACGTTGTACTTTAATAATAAACTTGCTACTTTCCATGACTTAAGAAGTGCTGCAATGGAGATAGAATTTGAACTGAAAATTTTCGTGGAATTGAGTTTCAGAAATAATCTGACCATTCTTAATTGCTTTAAAGTGCAGGAGAAATCGAACGCTGAGGAAATACATTTATAATTCCTCTTCCTACCTACATTTATCGTTTGAAATACATCTGCTCCACTTCTTATGAGAAATTTCATGAGGTCTATTGAAGAGTCTATATTTAATCCGTGTGAAGATTTAATCGCTACAAGCAGTGGGGTCAGCTTCTTACAATTTGGTTCATTAACATTAGCTCCTTTCTTGACTAGCAACTTGACGATGTCGAAGTGATGTTGCCTAATCGCGATGTGTAAAAGAGGACTTGATTTATCACAATATTTTTTGGTCACTCGAGCACCTTTCTTGATTAACAATTTAGCAATCTCTTTACGATTTCGGAGCTTAATTGCTAGTTTTAATAAACTGTGTCCTCCAAAAATCAAAGGATTTTTACTGAGTGGTATCGGCGCTAATGATTTTAATAATTTTTTCACCTTCTTAACATCACCGAAAAAAATCGCCGTCTCACTTATAAAAAGGTAACCACGTGTTAATGCACCTCACTAGTGTACGTACGGCAGATAGTTCTATACTGTTAAATTTTGAGTTACAACGTCCTATTTATATGGACACTATTCTCTCCCACTCTTTTCTTTTCGTACAATTACTAACTTTATTAAATTACTTTAATGAGAAATATCCCAAGTAAAAATTTATTATTTCTATCCTATTGTCTCGTAGTCTAGACAAGCTGAGAGTAATTAGTTGTTAAGCAAAATCTATTGTTCATTTGAAATGGTCACTTGGAATGAGATTCCGAACGTTTTGAAAAACAATTGGAACATTTCAGACACTCAGGTAGAAAAATGTAATTATAACTTATAATGATTTGGACGTTTAATGACATTATAATATATTTAAAATTTCTTTTTATATTTAAATTAAGGAACGCGATCTATACAAGTGTATTAAAGCGATGAAAGAATACAGAATAGGAACCAGTACAATAACGTTCTTTCATTTGTTGAATGCTCCATGGAATCAATTGATTAATCATGCCTATAATGAAGATGTCAGAAAACTGATTTTAATTTTGTTACTGAGTCGTTATTTAGCGTCGTTCAGTATCAACGGCATTATTACGTCTTTACTGTTATCTCCTATTGCATCCATCAATACTGGCATCAATTCTGAGACTGAGAATGTTTTCCAATTATCGTCATGTATACTATTGATTCCCTATTACATTTATAATTAAAAACTGTAGTGAAGTAAATGATTATATTATAGTGAAAACAGGTATTTTAAAGCAGATTAAAATTTTTTTATTTATATTAATAATTGCATAAAAGTAAAAAGTCAAACACTTACGGATCGAACTTTTTTGTATTTTCAGTTAGACATGTAGCCTTCTTGAATATCAAATTGGGATGGATATGTCGATTTTCCAACTCCTTGAGCTCCTAAGATTCTAACATGTCTAGATGTATTTAGAAAATCTTGTTGATAAACCCTTCAGGACATGGGCTATGAGATTTTTTTCTCACGCTACAACATTTAAGATAATGAATGTCGTTGCAGTGCAAGTGAGACACTGAAAAACACCCACGTCCTGACGAGTAAATTATTCTTCTAATACATTTTCATAAAGTTGCATGTTTTGATCCATTAATTTCGTACTACTTGTCATATCTTGCCGTAATTTCATTAGCAATCCAGCTTAATGTCATTAGAAATAGAGCAAAAAAAAAAATAAATAATTTAACGTAGATCATGCGGTTTACTTAATGAAGCCAATATTTATTCATAGTTGATTCCATTATGTTGGACTTGAAGATACAACTCTACTCTCGCCTTCTTGGGTTTTGAATAAAAAATTGGACGATCAGCATTTTGCAATAACTGACCATTCGAATGTTGAGATTAGAAAGTTGATGATTTAACAGTTTTTATTTTTGCACATATTTTTCCAGCTCGACCACCTGAATCTCGATGTTTTTTTGGTGTATCTAGGACTGCAGCGATAGTTTCCGAGATATCCTATTAGTGCTCCTTTAATTACGACGATTTCCAATCTTTAGATTAATTTTTTCATTAGTTGATAAAATTACTACATATAAAAAATATAATATTATACTTACCAATAAAATCTTTTACAATCATGCCTTACATAAATCTACTACTTAATTCCTTCATCAAAAAAAAAAAAATCAGCACAAGCATGCTTCAAAGTCCTCCAAGCTGATAACTTATCCTGCAAACATTATAAATTTGATGCTTGAAATAAATTAATAATTAGTTCGTGAATTTTTTTTTTTTTAATTAATTGTAATTTTCTTCATAAGACACTTGTTAGCGATTTTTCGAATCTATGTTATGAAATTGAAAAAAACACCACACAAAAAAAAACGACGAACTGCAAATTATAAAAAATTTTTGATCGAACACAGTCGAATATTATTTACTTAATTAAAAATATTCTTCTAGGAAGGCTCTAGCAAATTTTTTCTTAAATCAATCATTAAAAAAGAAAATCCTGACACCAAATAAGTTCAAATGTAGATTTAACTTCAAAAAAATAAAATAAATATAAATAAAATTTAAACCGAAATTTCTACAATGAGCTGCAAGGTTCAGTCCGTACTATTGGGGGAAACTGAGGATTTAAATACGCCGCCTGGTGGTTTAAATTCAAACTAGCGATTGTAGGATAGAATCATGTTTAACACAATGTTAATATCAATAAAATAGCAAAATACAGTGTAATTTTTATTAAAAAAAAAAAAAAAGCAATACAAAAAGTGAATTTCGTAATCATACATTTATAAAAAATTAATATACGTACATCAATATAATTATAAAAATGGAATTTTCTCCACATAAAAATAAAGAATTGATGGTGTAAACTATTTAAAAAAAAAAATCATTTCGGAGTCAAATATAAAATTGATGATGTAAACTATTTACAAAAAAAAACATCAATAAAAAAATTAATTAAAATAAAAATTATTTAAAAATGTTTTGCTAAAGCTGATGAAGAATTTTCTTCCACCATTATTTTAAGAAATTCTTCATATTCTGCTTCATCTAATTCAGTTAAACCCATGCTTAAACATACTGGAGGATCAGTAGCAGCTTCTTTTGGAGTGACGTATTTGCCTTAGAGTGATCTGATAGATTTCTTCATTTTAACTTTATCTTCATCTTTTTTTTTTGTTTTTCTTCAACACATTTGTGTTGAAATAAAAGCTTCGCCTCATATTTTTCAAGAGCTGATTTATAAGGTGCATTTCAGGCACATTTCTTATCTGTACACGTAATATCTTTGAAATCTTCAAAGTTATTTCTGTAAGTACAGAATAATAGAATCAATAATTTAATAAATATTTAATAATTTTAGAGTTTATTGATTAACAAGAAAGAAAGATAAAGTCATAATTACCGGTTACAAAATAAAAGTACTACCACAATATGTTTGCAAGTACTTCCCAATCCAGCCTTGCAAGAGCTGGAAGTAAATTTACAAATTTCTTGTAAGTTTACACGCATTTTTAATTAAATTTTGGTCACACGCAATTTTTAATTTAATTTTATATCCTATCTACACGTTTATTTACAAGCACCAGCTGTATCCAGAATCCTACAATCGCTAGTTTATTTTTTAACCACCAGACGGCCAAAAATTAAACCACGCCTCTCCCACGGAACCCAATAGGGGGATTTTGTTGGTATATACTCATGTGAACGCCTCGATGTTGGCCGAGCGGTTCAATGCGTTGGTCCGTTCGTACAATTCATGTGGCAAGGCGCGGGTTCGATCCCCAGCGAGTCCAAAGATTTTTCACATTTGTTGATATCTTTCGATTCTCTGAGGTTCGCTCCAGCGCCGCCTAGGTTAAGGCAAGTTCCTACCCACCACACAATCTACCAACGGCCGAATGGGAAAAAAATACCCAGAGCCTAAAGAATATACTATACTACTCATGTGAACGATGGCTCGTCAACAGTGGGGCCAGAACGTGCTCTTTTCTTACCCCCACTTTGTAGGCCACTCTCATCTGACTACATTGAAAAGCGGTACAAAGTGGGGGTAAAAAAATCGCACGATCTGGCCACACTGCTCGTCAAGTGTGAATTGTGATTCTTATGAAGTGGCTCTTATTATGGTATGACGTCATAACATAGTCTTATGGTGGCTATTCAAATGGTAATTAGTAATTTCCAATTAATTATACATAAATAAAAGCTATTGTCGAATAAAATTGACTAATGTCAAAAGAACTAATCGGGAGCAATTTATTGGGTTAATAAAATATAGAAAAAAAATAATAATTTGCTGAGATATAGGGAAAACCATTTTTGTAATTTTGATTGCAAATATTTAGTTAAATAATTATCTAATCACTGGAGCAATTACGGATTCTGAAAGAGCATTTAAGGAGCAATTTTTTGATATTTGGTTTGATATATTTTATTGAATTTCCACGCTAACTTAATTGCGGTGTGTGAGCTGGTGTGAGCAGCTGAAAGCTGAAATTGAGTACAGTGCCAGTGCAGCACTGTCAGCGCTGACTAGACCTACACCTACATCTCAAATTGTTCCCAAAGGGTCTCCTACTTCCCAAACTAGCTCCTATATTTTCTATATTCCATATATACTCCTATATTCGGTCTTTTCTTCGTGTGGGAAGTGCAGTCACCAGTGAATTACAACCAGGATATTATTTTCCTTGAAAAGTTCAAGTTTTAGTGAAGTGAAATTTACAGAATATTAAAAAAAAAAAAAAAAAAAAAACAAAAATAATTAATGTCGTCATGAATTGTTCGTGTGTGATTTGCTGGGTGCGATTGCAAGCCACCCACAATATTATAGCAACTGACTGCGGTCATATTTTTCACAATAAGTGCCTCAACGAGTGGATCGAGAGGTTAGAATTTTATTGTATTTTTTTTCTACAGCTTTTCATGCTATACATTTTTTTTTCTCCAACCATTTTCTTATTCTGATAAATTCTCACAGCTCTGTCGCATTTGCGCGTTAATTTTTAATCATTGGTCGATTAATTTTGTGAAAATAAATTGTTTATTATTAATAATCAGGTCTCCAACATGTCCAGAATGCCGTAAAGATGTTAACTCAACCCAAATTCGTCGTCTTTATTTAAATTTTACAAATGACGACACCATACAAGATGACCCAGCAGTATTACAAGAGCAGATTGATAAATTGCAATATTTATCACGCTTCCAAGAGTCTCAGGTTGTTTTTTAAATCCAATTTATTGTTTATTATTTAAATATTCATTGTTTTTTATGGGAAAAAATAACAACGAGATAATTTTTATCGGCCTCGTTGACTACCTAATTAAAAATCAACTGAGATTAAATTCTTTCTTGATTTGTTATTATTATTTTAAATCCTGGAATTTAATATTTATTTTGTAAATTAGATACAAACGCTGACGACGCAGAAAAAAAATTATGAGCTGAGAATTAACGCGCTGGATCGCGAGCTCATAACCCAGGCCAAGGAGGTCCGGAAACTCGACGCTGTCGTTTTTGCTTTGGAAGATCAGTTGAAGGGCCACAAGGCCGCTTGTGATGAGAGAAAATATTACCTAGAGCAAACTGTTAAATTGAAGGGCGACCTCGATAGTTGCAAGAAGTAAGGACAATTTTTTATTTATTTATTTATTTATTTATTTATGAGAATAAAGTTAGCCGACATCTGAAAATTTTTAGAATTTTTTTTTATTGACTAAATTATTAAAAAAAATTTTTTTTTTTAATTTCATTTGAAAAACTGTAAGTGCAATTTGAAAAAAAATATTTTTTAGTTCTAATTTATTTAATTGAACAAAATAAAAAAAAAAAATATCGGCTAACTTTATTATTATTATTATTTATTTATTTATTTATTTTAGGAAAATAAGTAGACTTTAATTTTATTTAGAAGTTTAAATATTTTTATTAATTTTAATTCAAAGAATTTTTATACGAAATCGTATAAAGGTAGAAAAAAAATTTTTTTATTCAAATTTTTGGTAGATATTTACAATTAGGGTCAACTATTTTAATTATCATTTTTTTCAACGAAATTTTTATATGTTTTCATTGATATATTTTTCTTTTGAAAAATGTATAAAAAAATGGAATATTTAAAAAAAAAAAGTTGACAATTTTAACAGAAAAAAAAAATTGATAAATTTCTTAGAAAATTGTGAGGTTCAATTGTTTTTTTATGTACTCTAAAAAAAAAAAATATCAAAATTATTAAAAAAAGATGAAACAGAAATGTTAACCAAAAACGAGCCAAAATTTTTTTCAACTTTTAAGGACAAAAAAGCTATCAAAATTAATAATAATTTTTTAAATGTCTGGGTAATCTAAAAATATTAATTTTATATTCTCAAAATTATTTTAGAATTAATTTTTTTAACATATTTTAATTTTATTAAAAAAAATTCATAAAATTGAATTCTTTTTTTTTTCTGATTAATTAAAAAAAAATATTTTTACGATAAATTCATAATCATTAATTTGAGAACAAAATTTATTATGATAAAATGTCTTTTCAACATTTTGAGTTTCAATGAGGCTATTGTATAAATTTCCGAGAACATGCCTCTAAAAACCTTTTATAATTATTCAATGAATTGCCAATTGAGAATAATTCTTATGAATTCCACTCATCTTATCTTTCCTCATTTTATAACTTACTAACATAATTTTTTTATTTATTTTAAATTTATAATTTTCATACTCCTAGTGTACTATAAACTCCCCCTTGAACCTTGGTAACAAATTTATCCTGTTTGGGGATTTCAACGCCCCTGAATTTATTTTTCTACCTGAAATTTTAATTAACAACTCGTACCTGAAAATGACCCAAGTATATTGACTCTGGTATATTCATAACAAGCTCCAAAAAATTTAATAAATAAGTATACGTCAGAACTCTTTGGGCCCTCAAGGGTCTGCTGAGTCATAAAATTTTATTTTTCTTCAACAGTAATATAAATTTTTTATTAAAAAAATAAATGAATTTTTAAATTAAATACTAAAAATTTTTTTATAAAAATATTTTCGTATTAAATATCAAAATTTCTCTTATCAGTAATTTGGGGTTGAAAAAAAATTTTTTTTCTATTCTCGTTAAATTGTTTGCACAACGATTAGACAACTCATTAAAAGCCTTAAATATATAATACCATAATAAAATTCTTTTTGAGAACTAAACAGTTAATAATTCCCATAATTAAAAGTGCTCTTATCTAATGACCTTCTAATGCATTTTAAATTACCGATTTTACATTGTAATATTTTCACTATCAATTTACAATCTCAATTTGAAATATAACTATCAACCATGCAGTCACTATGTGACTGCCGTGACTTGAGGACTATAAATAAATAAAATTTTGCTTAATTAAATAATGAATTTTGTTAAATTGCACTGTACTTTCTTAAATATTGACATTTTTAAAGATATAAGCTCATCCCGATGTCACACTCATTAAGAGCTTTCATTTGAGTACCCACAAGCATTTTTGATATATTTTTCATATATACATATATATAATATATATAAATATATAAAAAATTGATGTGGGTACTCAAATAAAAGGTCTCGATGAATGTAACGTCAGGGTGAGCTTATATCTTTGAAAATGTCAATAGTTCACAAGATACAAGGTCATTTCTTACATTAAATAATTACTTTTGTTAAATTACACTGTACTTCCTTAAATATAGATGTTTTTAAAGATATAAGCTCATCCTGATGTTACAATTATCAAGAGCTTTCATTTGAGTACCCACAAGCATTTTTGATATATTTTTCATATATACATATATATAATATATATAAATATATGAAAAATTGATGTGGGTACTCAAATGAAAGGTCTTGATGAGTGTCATGTCGGGATGAGCTTATATCTTTAAAAATGTCAATAGTTCACAAGATACAAGGTCATTTCTTAAATTAAATAATTACTTTTGTTAAATTACACTGTATTTTCTTAAATATTGACATTTTTAAAGATATAAGCTGATCTTGATGTTATAATTATCATGAGCTTTCATTTGAGTACCCACATGCATTTCGATATATTTTTCATATATACATATATATAAATATATGAAAAATTGATGTGGGTACTCAAATGAAAAGTCTCGATGAGTGTAACGTCAGGGTGAGCTTATATCTTTAAAAATGTCAATAGTTCACAAGATACAAGGTCATTTCTTAATTATGTATCTAGAGATAGAGCATTTTCAAATGTAGCCTAAATATTTATCATAATAAATTGAATATCGGTGAGAATTCTATGAAACCTTAAAAAGGCATAAATTCAAGTCAAGACCTTTGCAATGACACTAAATTTCACTAAAAAAAACCGCTTTTATCATATAACTATCTTGGACACAAAATTTTTTTTATTCTTTTAATAATATAGATTAAAAAAAAATCAAATCTAATATAAAATAAATATTTTCAGCTTCTTAGGCCTAGAACAAACTGCCGCCGAGCATTACAAATCAATAGCGCTGAAACATGAGATGACGATAAGCCAAAACAACACGAGAATCGACAAGCTCCAAGAACAACTGGCCTTATCAGAAGCAAAGTATATGACCAAGCTCCAGGAAGCAGAAAGTCTCCAGCACATGTTGGCCCGAGCGAAAACTCCAGTGACAACTTCTACCATAAACAATGACTCGATATTGATGTCAACATTGCCCGACCTGGATGATATACGACTGGATCAGTCCCCAAGTCGCTCCGAGCCGGCCTTTCCTTTTAACTTGGTGATAAAGTCTCGGGAGAACAAGGAAAATGAACCTATGCCCAACAATAATATGTTTTCTTTTTTTAAAAGAAAAAGCTCCACTCCTGAGTATGGGCAACCTAACAAAAGACTTATGGTAATTATTTTATTTTTATTTTGCATCGAGAAAAATTTTCTCTGACTTTTATTGACAATTTTTTCAATCATGACGAATTTAATTCTTCATGCTTTGAGAATTAAGTATTCACAGAGTTGTAAATAATGAGTTATTAAATTTATTATTTCCATGGAAAAATAATAAGATAAAGTACCCAGCAGTTCAACAGATTTCGAAGTAAAACGTATTTGACCCTACTTTTAATGTATAAAGATGTAATTATTAGTTCATATTAGTGAGTTTCATGAAAATATAATCAATTTTGAATTGATTGAAGCGCAAAATAACAAAGATAATTTAATATTTATATTTTGACGCTTTTAAGATAGACTATTAAAGGAGTAGTAGTTGAACACTCCGGGAGCAGTAGTTGAACTAATAAAATATTTGGCAATAGGCACCAAAAATTTTCAACGTTTTATTGAAATATCAAAAGAATTATAACATATTATTGATTAATATTAAAAATAATACTATGAATATTTAATATGTTCATTTAAAAATGAGAAATATTTGTATTTAATTTTTTAATTATATTTTTTATGAACGACAAAGCAAATTTTCAATTATAAATAAAAAAAACTCAATTCAAAACGTTCAATAATTTTTAACCTCACTAATTTTTAGTTATAAAACTTATTTAATTTGCAGTAATTAATACAAATTACAATGCTGATCTCTAGTCTATAAATCTATTAGAGATTAGAATGCTGTTAAAATTATACGGCCCCAGCTTGTTCAAGTTTTGGGTACCGCTTTAAAAATTTGGAGGTATCGTTAGACGCTGAAATTTAATATAAAAATTATAGTTTATGTCTGCAAAAATATGTATTATTTAGAAAAGACTATTTCATTGGGTGGTACAATTTTTTTACTTAAAATTATGATATACCGTTTTTTCAACTGATTGTTCGGTTTACGGTTTAATACCTTTTTCATGAAAAAATAGCATCTGTCGGCTATTCTCATATCAACTTTTAAGTTAACAAAAATATAATTGTTTTGATTTATAATTGAAAAAACTTACAGAAATAAATTATTGTATCATTGAATAATTATAACATGCGCCTATAACTCATAATAAATATACGGATTTTGTATTACAACAATTCAAAAAGTCTGTTTAAGTACTGGTTCTATTTTTATAAATGTTCAAGTACTGGGTACTTTACCTTGATTAAAAAATTAATTTTTAATTTAAAAATTTTACAAATTTGTTTTAATAATAATAATAATAATAATTGGATTTTATTTGCATGACTAGTGTCTTTTACATAATTATATAAATATATCTTCCGACTCTCTTTTTTAATTTTATTTTTCACTCTCAAATTTGTCTTAATAATATTTTACATTATTTTCTTTAATAAATATTTTTTTTTAATTTCAGATTAAGAAAACGATGAAATTTTTTATTAAAATGAATTATTTGTCTATGGCTAAAAATTTTTAATAAAATAAAAACATAAAAATAAAAATTTTATTTATCTATTAATTTTTAAAAAACTTGAAATTTTCTAAATAAATATAAAATTAAATGTTGATTAAAAAAATTCAGCATAAATTTTTAAATCTCCATCCAAATTTTTAGACCAAAATGATAACAATTTTTTTTATTTTTTAGCCTTCAAATCACATAGATACAATTGCACAAGAACTAGAGGCTTTTTGCAATAAATTAGATTCATATCCAACAACGTCAGGGTATCAGAAAAAAAACTTCGTTAGTATAACAGACACTCATTTGCCAGCGACAAATAACTTATCCGCTTCGTCAACACTATCACTGTCTTCATCTTCGCTCTCTTCCCAGTCTTCGTCTTTATCTTCATCCTCATCCTCATGCTCATCGTCTTCCTCGTCGTCTTCTTGCATAAACAATGCTTTGAAACCGACTGAACTGGTTGACTTAACCGGCGAGACTTCCATTGTCATAGATCTTACGTAAACATTATTTTTTTACCATTAAATACTAAATTCATGAAGCGAGTACAATAAATTTATAAATAACTGCATTTTTCAGCTTGTAATGTTGAATTATTCTAAATTTTGAAGTTTTTTATTTTTAATTTAATAATTTTGTAATTTTTTATTAAATTACGCGATTAAGTGAGAAGAAATTTTGCGCAAATTTCTCAATTTAAAATTTTTTTATGAACAAAAAATTTTTTGATAAAATTTCAAGGAAAAGTTTGTATTAATAAATAAGTTTTAACTTTTTTTTTGATAATTGATAAATAATTCGAATAAATTAATCAGTTTGTATACTATTATATCATTGAAATATTTTTGAGCTTTAATTCGCGGCATTTCTCAACATTAAAAGTCAATTTAAATGATTAATTGATTTTTTTGCAATCATGGGTTTTTTTTTTTTTTTTTAAGTCGCATTTATTTATATGAACAATTATATTTAATTTAATTGTAAGTAATTATAAATAGTGTAATATTGTAATTAATTTGTAAAAAATAAATAAAGTAAATGTGTAAATTAAATTTTAGAACTTGAAATTTATTTTTTTTTTTAATTTGTTAAATTATTAATTTTTGGATTGTAAAATTATTAAAAATTATTTTTTTTAATAATTTAAAAATTATCACAAATATATTATTTTTTTTTATAATAATATATTTAAAAAGTAAACTCTGAGATTTAAATATTTAATTTTAAATGAAAATTTAGTTAGCTGACATTTAAAATTTTTTAGAATTTTTTTTATCAAAAGAATTATTACAAAAAATTAAAAAAAAAAATTCAATTTTAAAAAACTTTATAAACTGTGAGTGCAATTTTTTAAAAATATTTTTTAGTTCTAATTTAATAATCACATTAAAATTAGCCGACGTTCAACAATTTTAGATTTTTTTTTATCTATTAAATTACAACAAAAAAAAATATTTTTACAAAATTGCACGTTTAATTTTTAAAACTTCCTACATGTGAATTTTTTTAATTAATTTTTTTTTAATGAAAAAAATTCTTCAAATTTTAATTTAATTATTAAATTTTTCTTTCAATTTTAAAAATGAAATCGCAAAAAATGCTTTATAATTTATTTATTAAAAAAAAAAATACAAAATTAATTTTAATATTAAAAAATTTAATTTTAGATAGACTTAAATTATTTTTTCTATAAATTTTCTTTTAATTTATTAAAATAAATTATCAAAAAGAATTAATTAAAAAATAATAAAAACTTCTAATGAAAAATTATTAAACAAAAAAAGTGGTGGGGGAAAACTAAAAAGTGGGGGTAAGTTGCCAGCTAGCGACGCACTAGGGAGCGACGCCACCGACATTCGGTCTAGAAGTTTCCGGCGCTTCGCATCGAGTTCCCGCGTTTTTATACCGCTCCGCACTTACAGTAAAAAATAATGCACTAATAATTGAAAATAATTGTCAAGTAATGTTTAAAAGTACTTTAATTACATCAGTAATTGTAAATAATAATAAATTTCTGTGCAAAAATACATTATTTGATAGAAAATCGTCATTTTTACTGAGTCATGACGTAAAAGCTTGTCGGTGATTTTTAAATATAAAATTCAATTTGTTTTTTCGATTTTATTATCTCAGAGCGTGTAATTATTTTTTTGCCATTCAATTCGATTATTATTTCGACGCGATTATTAGTTTTTTATGGATTTTAGTGAATATTTGTGCAAAAGTGCAGTGAAAATTGTTTTAGTGTCTCAAAATGGCGGGCCAAGATGGCGCGCGTGCGCGGGAAAATTTGAATTTGGTTTTAGTTGATTCTTTTTTGTTTTTAATAGTGAAAAATGTTCGAGTTTGAAAATTTTTAGAATTTTTTATTTTTTTTTTTTAATTGTAAGTTCTATTTTTTATGAATTTAGTAAATATTTGTACAAAGTGCAGTGAAAATTGTTTTAGTGTTTTAAAATAGCGGGCTAAGATGACGCGCATGCGCGGGAAAGTTTGAATTTGTGTTTTAGTTGATTCTTTTTTTGTTTTTTTATTTTTAATAATGAAAAATGTTCTAGTAATTTTTTTTTTTAAGTTTTAATAATTATTGACAGTAAAGAACTGTCAACATAATTTAAAAGTGACAGTGTATTAATAACAAACGTAAGTCTTTTTTATTTTTATTATTATTGTTTAGCATTCTTAAAAAATAATTTTATTATTTTAAAAATGATTTTTTTTTATTTTATAATATTGAAATTACGAAATTTACGATACTGGAATTGAAAAACATTTGATAATTAAAAACATTTTTTTTAACATATATAACAAATAAATTATGGCAAAAGAATAATTTATTTAAAAAATTCCATCTTTAAAAACTTTAAAAAATTATAAATGACATTTTTTAAAAACACTTTTTAGATCTAGTTTATTTTTCAATAAAAATCAAAAAATTCTCAAGGGTCTGCTAATTTTAGTATTAATATTTTTGAGCAAATAAATTATTATCAACAATTTATTTTAAAAAGTTAAAAAAATTGTTTTAATAATTTTTTTCAACAAATAAATTTTTTTTTTATTTATTTATTTACCAGGTTATAACATATATACATAGATAATTATACATACATATATACCTATAGAGATGCTTAAGCATCTGTGCATAGGCCTGGTAGTACATTATTTTATATAGTAATAACATTTTTAACTGTACATAACTTGACATCCATCCATCTCAGAACTCTTACAAATATATGGTACATTACTAGTAAGAGTAATAAATATATAAAGGTAATCCATACTTATAACAGTCGAAAAAAAATTTACAACTCGTGATATTGAGATCGAGGTCTGATCTATCTTTGAGATGCTTACCAGTTTCTTATCTTGATTCTAATTTCTTTGTTTGGTAGGTGTAAGTTTTTTAAATTGTCTGGTAACTTGTTATAATTCTTTATTGCCACTAAATTAGAGTTTTTAAGAGCTATATTTTTGTTGACCTTTGGCATGCTTATTGCTCTACCTCTAGTCTTACCCTGGTAATTAGAATATACATTTTTGCATTTCGAGTAGTGGTAATACATTGACTCAATTATAAAATAATCTTTTACTCCTAGTATTTTACAAGTATTTTGCTCGTTTATCACATTTATTAGTTTATTTTGTATCACCACTAATTTATTTATAGCATTTTTATAGCATCCTCCCCACCCAATTATTCCATAATTTATTATACTTTCAAAGAGTGTGTTATAAACACTTTCAGTGTTTTCTTATCTGCTATCCGTTTTAGCTTGTAAAAGATAAATAGGAAAAAATTTGGTTTTTTTTTATGAGATCCTTTACATGTAAGTCCCACTTCATGTTGCAGTCGAATACTAGCCCTAAATTATAGCCAGAATAATTTAAAAAAAATTCCATCTTGAGAAACTTTAAAAAATTGTAAATGCTATTTTTTAAAAATACTTTTTAGATCTAATTTATTTTTCAAAAAATTCTCAATGGTCTGGTAATTTCAGTATTATTAACAATTTTGAGCAAAAAAAAAATAATAATTTTTTAACATAAATAATTTTTTAAATAATTTTTAATTAACTTTAATAATTTTTTTTATCATAAAAAATTGATTAAACAATTTATTAAAATTTCTGTGAACTTTTTTTTTAATTTGTGTCTATTAACTCTTTTATTAATTTGTATCTATTTCTAAATTTTTGAAGTTCGAAGAATCATTGGAAGTGAAGAGGAGTCAACAAGTTCCGTTGCCAGAGTAAAAACCTGTAATGACAGCAAATGTGAGTCCTTTTGACCATTATTTATATTTAAATATATTTAACAATCAATCAAATAAATGTAAAACGATGTCGGAATTTTCATATTGAAATTAAAATTCAAAATGAATAAATAACCGCTGTGTAATTAATTACTGTCGAGTATCAAATTACAGGGTGAATTTATTAAAAGCTTTTAGTACATTTAAAAAAATTAAAATAACTCTTAAAATTTATATTTATATGTATAAATTAATTATTAAAATAATTTACCCAATTTATTTAAATTAAATTTTTATTCTAAACGTATGTGCAAACTCCGGCATTCTCGATACAGTGTGTACAAATTCTTGAACACCAACACTGCCGTTCATCACCAGATCCAATTCTTGAATAATCTGTAAGAAAAATATATATATATTATTAAACTTGGCTGCATATACATACTTATAGTTAAATATTCTCTATAAAATAGTTGTGGAAGTTAACGGATCGCGGTTCTATAGATAGTAAAACGGCACTCGATTATAATACACTAAAGTCCATATTCTCTTTCCAGACATTACAGACAATACAATACAATAATAAACTTTAAATTAATCACGTAGAAGTTTGCAGGTTATACAAAGTCAATGCATATTATATAAAGGCTTTATCATTTACGGCGAGCGAGTGTAAAATCAAAGGGTCATACTCCTAGATTCTCTATTCTCATTCTACTATAATAATATTCCTTCTATATATGTATATAAAGGAACATCGGCATAACTGAAACATAAGCTTGCAGTATAGTTATACCAAGCATATTATTGAAGGGTTAGACAATGGAATTATTGTCCTTGTTTTATCACGCTTATATAGATATATATTTAAGTGCTGATAAAGTTAAGCAAAGTTCTCACAAAAAATAATTGTTTTTTTATTTTAAATAATTGATTAAAAATTACTACCACTTGTGCGATAAATTTTGAGCTTTTGCGGTCAATTCTCGGCTCGCTGTTCTTTAATCCTGTTAGTCTTTCTACAACTTTTATCAAATCATTCAGAGACAGCTGGTTATCTTCATCAAAATCTGTGAAAATAGAAAGATTAATTTAAAGCATTGGAAATTGATAAAATTAAATAGATAAATATATACAAACCAAAAATTTTGAACGCCCAGGCGGCTTTTACGTCACCGGGGCAATTTTCCGACATCACTGAGAACAAATCAATCAAATCATCGAAACTCATAGTGCCGTCGTTATCAGTTGAAAATACACGCAGGATTGAATCGCGAAATGGGTTGTACTGGAAAGTGCGAATGTTATTATTTTTTTTTTATACATAACAGCTCTTTGAAGTTGATATTTAATATTCGTTATATGGTATGTTGGTGTAATAATTTTTTATTTTATTATTATATAAACTATCAACCTTGCAGTCACTATGTGACTGCCGTGACTTGTGAACTAGAAAAAAATTAAAATTTTGCATTGTTAAATAATAAATTTTGTTAAATTGCACTGTACTTTCTTAAATATTGACATTTTAATGATATAAGCTCATCCCGATGTTACACTCATCAAGAGCTTTCATTTGAGTACCCACATGCATTTTGATATATTTTTCATATATACATATATATAATATATATAAATATATAAAATATATGAAAAATTGATGTGGGTAATCAAATGAAAGGTTTTGATGAGTGTAACATCAAGATGAGCTTATATCTTTAAAAATGGGAATAGTTCACAAGATATTTGTTAAATTGCGCTGTACTTTCTTAACTATTGACATTTTTAATGATATAAGCTCATCCCAATGTTACA